GTTGCTCCCTTGATGTGCACCTTCTTAACTAAAAGTTTTAGCTTTTGGGGGTTAGTTTGATGAGCAAATAAACTTGAACTGTTTTGCTATGTAGGCAAAAACATCCAAAGTGTAAAGAATGCTCACTTGGAATGAACTCTCCCTCAGCTCCTTCTGGTAGAGTTATTAGTGTTTGTCCAATTATAGCCCCTCTCTGTCTGTGTATAAAATGTCTTTGCTGTCCAAATATTTCATAATCTTTTTTGTAAGAGAAATCTTACATTTTGCCTTAGGCTGTTCCTTTAAGTCATTAAGCTTTGCCATTCATTTCATTGGGAGCACTGTTGGGGCCAGTAATAGTGGTTGAGATATTCCAGTGCCTGTTAATGAGCCCTTTTATTCTTGGGTTCCATACAATAGAAGCAGCTTCTGTGTCTACCATTGCTGTTATAAGCCATAAAAGTTAAAAGGAACTTAAATTATCATGTAAATGAAATTCTATAAAGTACGTTGCTCTGTATCTAAGCAGTATTTTGGAGAAGATAGTATCTGCGTACTGTATCTTGTCCAATTTTTCAATATTTCAGTGTGAGTAATTATTAGACACCCTGCTGTTTGTCAGGGTTTTTTCCAGATGAAAACAAAGTATATTTTATATATTGTAAAAAAAGGAATACTGTAAATCAAGCTAGGATTAGTCTATACAATATAATGTAGCCTGGTAGCTGTCAATGCTCAGGGGAAAAAAAAAAAAAACAACTATAAAAAATTACTAATTGGGCTAGTGGAAAGGTAGCTTTCAAGAAAATATTTAACATTTTAATCAAAATTGAAGTTAAAGGAAATTTATTTATTAATCAAGACAAGCACAGAACAGGGCACAACCCCATTAATGCACCTTGGGAATAACTGATCATAATGCTTAAAAGGATTATGCACAATAAAGTTGTAATAGATCAGATTTAGACCAAGTAATCAATTAAACCATTAAAACTATTTAAATTTAAAGAGTAAATATTTTGCAGAATAGATTTGAGATGGTCTGTTTTGAGACCTGTAGATAGTGTTTAGCAGAGTAGCATACAAACAGTAGCAACATACAGAATGGATGATGGAGGAGTCAAACAGGAATTGTAAAATTCACAACTAAAGGTTACAAGTGCATTATGGATATTAATTAGATCAAACACAAAAACAAGATTTAAATGTTCTAGTTTAAAAACAAATTTATCTTAAAAATCTACATGTTAAAACTTTCTAACAGGTATGCAGTCTACTCTGTCTGCATGTTCCAGTGCAACATAAACTTCCAGGATACCTACCTGTACCTCTTTTGCCCTGCATTTGATTTAAAGCAGGGATCTCAAACTCAAATCACCACGAGGGCCACATGAGGGCTAGTACATTAGCCCGAGGGCCACATCACTGAAACCTTTTCAGACAATGATACAAAAGTATAGTCAAAAATGAAAAAAAATGAATATAGTATGCTATTAAAAGTCAATGTATTCACTTTTTTAAAAACCGTAATGCGAAGAGGGATTTTAATAAAATATAAACACTCAGTAGTGCACCTCACTCAAACGACAAAACACACATGTACTTTTAGAATTATGTCCGTTAAAGCTCCCCCTCTGTCCCTGGCCCTGCCCATTCCAACCCCTTCCCCAAAGTCCCTACCCCAACTCCACCGCCTTCCTGCCCCTATTCCATCCCCTTCAACAAATCCCCAGCCCTGCCTCTTCTTCGCCTCCTCCCCTGAGCATGCTGCATCCCCGCTCCGATGAAGTGAGCTGTAGCTCACGAAAGCTTATGCTCAAATAAATTGGTTAGTCTCTAAGGTGCCACAAGTACTCCTTTTCTTTTTATATATCAAGGTACATGCTAAAACACAGCTATCCAATGAGAGAACTTGCATGCAAATAGAAAGATGCAGGATTATTTCCAAAGAAGGGCAGGACAGACAGAAAATGGTGTTATGACAGACTGCAGTGCCATTGAGTTGTGGGACACAATGAATTGGCTGCTTTATTAGTATGGTTCTCCCATTTGTTTTTGTTTCATTTTTATTATATAACTTGAAACTTCTCCCAATTACACTAGTGTTAAATTAATGTAGTGTGTTGTGGCAAGGTAGCCAATTTTAGTTTGGTGGGTCCTGTGCTTTTCTTGGTGGGGAGCCAAGATGCTACCTTTTGCTCCTCGCTCTGAGTCCCAGCCCCTCTCAACCCCTGTGGGTTTCTTACCTTCATCCCCCTTAGGTGGGGTTACCCTCAGTCCTTAGATGCTAGGGGGAAGGGAGTCTCCCTGTTCTGCTGGGCAGGGTCCCCCTTACTCCAATTCTCAGGTCTTCCAAATCTCTCAACACACCTCCAAGCTCCAGTCTGTTCTTCTTCCTCCTCCTCCTCTGTCTGCCTGATGCAGGGGGTTTTATTAGGTTCCTAACAGGGCCTTAATTGACTGCAGGTGCTCCAGTTAACCTGCAGCCACCTTCCCTAGTTTACAGGGAACCACACCTTAATAGCCTTGAGCTTATATATCTAGCACTCTCCCACTACTCCCTGGCCCTCCTGTATCACAGTGTATAGTTCCCCTCAATTTGCCACTAATTTAAGTAATTATGAAGCCTATGAGGAAAACATATAGAAATTGGCTTGATACTGACAAACTTTAAAGGAAAAATAAAATAAAAATGTTTGTCAAGTTTCATAGAATACTCTGTAGGTGATTATTAGTTTATATCAAAAGCTAGATAATGAATTAACAGTTTTGTACTTCTTTCCTAACAACTATAAAGCAAGTTTAATTCAAGTATATAATGTATCAGCATTTTACTGTATAAATCTTGTTAGCCTGCCACCCTGTTAATGTTCTAGTTTAATAAAAAAACAAACCAAAAAACAGTTATAGGGCTTGGTTTTACAGAATATTAACAATGGAATATGGAACCTTTTACCTCTCACTTGTTAGAGGGCATTGCAGGCCATCTGTGAATGAAGATTATCATTTGGTAGCTCTCCAGTGGCCTATGTAAAATGAGTTCTTAGGCCCGGTTTCTGGTGAGGAAAAAACGTCATCACCACTACAGTTTGCTGATTTGTAAATTGGTCAAATGTTGAAGGGGCAGTGCCACACTCAAGAATGACATGCACATGATATTGATAAGATCGTATGTGATGAACCTAAACAAATGGGCCACTTATGTTTCTGACTTCAAACCTTCTGCTATTTCCCTGGACAAAATCTCTGAAAACACCCAAGTGTCCTGGAGTTCTAATGGGCCTTGCAGTACTGCTAATCCCAAGCATTCAACAATCATGAGTCAGGCTCCAAAATATCAAATATGTATGGATTCTTTTTCTGTGTTTTCTGGTCTCTGAGTCTTTAGGCTACACTCAGGTGGTGTTGTCCAGCTTTTTCCCCTGACCATAAAGGTAAAAACTTATTTTAAAAAATACCGACATTCTCATGACTCTGAGCTGGGGCTTTAAGAAAAAGACAAATATAGTGAGATTCCCCTCACCGGGTCCTGGAGCCTGGGCTCCAGCCTGAGCCCAGAAATTTTCACAGCAATGAAACCGCTCCGCAGCCTGTCAGCTGGCATAGTCCAGCCGTAGTCTAATTGCTGTGTAGGTGCATACTAAGTCTTTCAGTACACCACATACTCATTATTGAAACTAAGCTTTAAAATTAACAGTTTTTTATACATTATAAAAGTTAGGCTTGGCAGAATTCAATTTTTAGTTTTTGATAATTTTGACAGATAATATCAGTTTATTTTGAAGAATTTTTTTTTTAGATTTTTATCTTTTTAAATATTCACAGTTGTACAAAATTATGAGGAGTCCTGCAGTGGAGGTCAGACAATTATTTAATGACAGCCGACAGCAGAGATTCAAAAAGCTGAAGCTTTATAACTGTTAAAACACACATTGTCTACATCACGCTTCAAAATATACACAATAAATATCCTTAAATCAAACCCTAATAATTTTTCAAGCAGCATTTTCTTACTTTGCCTCTTTGTAAATTTTGATTGACAAAAATATTTCCCTATACAGTTTTTGTGTGTACGGTAAAATCAACATTTATCAATATGTACCCATAAAAACTGAATCCTTCAGAGCCTGGTTATGGTGCACAAGTAATCTTTTATAAAGAACATACCTAAGGAATTAAAAATTCAGAGTAAAGGCTGACTGAATGAAATGTGTAGCATTGGAGAAACAGGCTGTGTTTCTTTCAAACACTTTCTGGTTTTGCTACTATTAACTTTGATCAGGAGATTTTGAACTGTAGACATTTCTGTGCTTTGGGGCATGTTAACCTGTCTAATCACTAAATTCTTAACTATTATTTTCCTGCTATTGCTTTGTATAGGGTTACCATCGTGTGCAAATGAATGTTTCTTAGGGAACATCTTGCATAGTAAAAATACATGTACTGTGGGTACTGTTTATGGAGGGTGGCTTAGGTGTGGAGGAGAGTAGTCACAAAATAGTACGTCTTATTTTGTGGTAAACAAAAATTAATGGGGGGGGGGTGATGGAGTAATTGAATGAGCATGGGCATGTGTTAGGAATTTGAGGCCAAACCCCAGTTCACATGATGATTCACTCTGACAGAGCTATGCATCCCTACTCTTACCACACTTTCCCTATTCCAAACATATAAGGATGTTTGCAGAGCACTTTGAAGATAAAGTGCCTTTATAATTGCTATGTATCATTTTATTATATTAGATCTGACGTATAATTAATATATGCCATCTGTTCTCCAGTAGTCTTATTTCTTTCTTCAAAACAACAAATACCTTACTGGATCAATTCTCGCAATCATGAATATACACATCTGACTGAATATTTATTTGCTCATATGCGTAAATCACCTTGAGCATTGCAAAATGATGCAAATATTGCTGGCTCCACCGTATTCCTTAAATTGTGTATTATCCTAATATGGCTAAATGAACATCAAATTAGGAAAAAGTGTTTTGATTCCTCTTTCTACTCCCTTAATAGGTTTCTTTGGAAAATTGTGTCGAGGTTGGGCGGATTGCCAATACGTACAATCTTACAGAAGTGGATAAATACGTTAATAATTTCATCCTGAAGAACTTCCCCGCATTATTAAGTACTGGTGAGTTTGTGAAACTCCCCTTTGAACGTCTTGCCTTTGTGCTTTCAAGCAATAGCCTTAAGCACTGCACTGAGCTCGAACTCTTCAAGGCTGCTTGTCGCTGGCTACGGTATGAGGAGCCTCGAATGGAATATGCTGCAAAACTAATGAAGAACATCAGATTTCCACTGATGACACCACAGGATCTTATTAATTATGTACAAACAGTGGATTTCATGAGAACTGACAATACATGTGTGAATTTGCTTTTGGAAGCCAGCAATTACCAAATGATGCCGTACATGCAACCAGTCATGCAGTCAGAGAGAACTGCCATTCGATCAGACAATACTCACTTAGTAACATTGGGGGGAGTGTTAAGGCAGCAACTGGTTGTCAGCAAAGAATTACGGATGTATGATGAAAAGGCACATGAATGGAAATCATTAGCTCCCATGGATGCACCAAGATACCAGCATGGCATTGCTGTGATTGGAAACTTTCTATATGTAGTTGGTGGACAGAGCAATTACGACACAAAAGGAAAAACTGCGGTTGACACGGTCTTCAGATTTGATCCTCGCTATAATAAATGGATGCAAGTTGCATCTTTAAATGAAAAGCGTACCTTCTTCCACCTAAGTGCCCTCAAAGGACATTTGTATGCAGTTGGTGGTCGAAATGCAGCGGGTGAACTAGGTAAGTGTATTTTATCTTGAATGTATGAATTTTTGTCTTTCTTTTCAGGTCTTAAAATTATGCTGTTCTGTGGAAAAGGGAGAGAAAAACAAGTATCCTAATTTGAAAACAAATTAAGTTATTTCTTTCCAGCAGCATCTATAGAGATGCTAATTTGGACACGGTCAGTGAATTTCAGGTACACTTTTGTGAAGGAAGTTCAAAATAAATTTAACTTGTAGAATAAAGTGACATGTTGCTGACTGATTTAGATATGTAATATCCAGTGTTTTCATCTTTAGCGTCAAACTATTTAAAAAAAATGCTCACTGCCATTTATTTAAATGTTTGTGGAAGCTTTTACTGAGTTTTGCAAAGTTTCTTTAGAAGGAGCTTTAAATATTTGACTGAAGAAATGTTTGCTTGCAAATAGATTAACCTTTTCTAGTTCTGCCTCTATATAACAGTTGCTTTTCAAACACATCATGATTTAGTAACCTCATATATCATGTAAGCCAAAATAATTTAACACATTTTTATTTGGATAAGAATATCTCTTATACTTGAAGGAAATCTGTGCAGTTGCTCTCAAAAGATGTGACTTTTTCTTGCAGTAATTGCAATAGTGATTTTGGAATATCAGTGTTTTAAACATGTTTGTTGCTTAAAGACAAGCCAATAGCTTATCTGTGAGACTAAAAATGTTCTGACACACTCCACTTGTTTGTCACTAAAAATTACTTGTTCTTTTCCATAATCTCTGCACCTCATGGTTAAGTGTCTCACTTCCTATTAATCCTCCTTTCTTCACTCCCTCTTTGCCAAAAATTGTAATTCATTTTACTTGGAGAAAAAAAGGTCTAAATAAAAATTAGAAGGAATAAAAAATGATCAGGCAGTAGCTAGTTACTTTTAATTTAGCATAAACCATCAGAAATGTAAGATTAATCTTTCTCTCCAAAAGCAGGTGGTGTTCAGAGTTGATACATAGATTTGACTATATGTACCCATTTGTAAATTTTGTCTCTGTGCATTAGAAATACAATAATGAGATACAGTATTATACTTCACATTTCTGATTGCATAATAGAATTTCACTTAGTGTGATTTAAGTAAGTGTACACATACAGATGCTTTATTTAAGCTTGCAGTCTCTCTGTCTCATCCCCATTCACAGCAGGTACTTGGCAGCAGACCTGGCTTTGTGGTGAAATCTCCTGTTACAAAAACTTCATTACTTTTATGGATATACTGCAGTGTATTTTATAAATGTACTGTGAAGTATTGTCTTAATTTAAACTAATCAGAAAAAATGAACTGATCGTTTTGTGATGTAGCATCTGATTCTCTCTCCCCTTCCCCCATTTTACTCATCTACAAATCTGCAAAATTCAGATAATCTGCAATGGATTTCCTAGTCATATAATAAACTTCCTGTTTGGGAAGCATGGAGTGCTAAAGTTGTAGACTTGTAATTCTTTCAGCAAAGTTTGAATAGCAGAATTGATTTTTGTGATTTTTTTGGTGTTATAATATGTTAAAAACTGTGTTTTTAACATAACTTGGTTATTTCTTGCAACCATTTCATGATTTATATCTAAATGCATTTCTAGCTAAAATGATCGTGATTGGTAACTTTTCACTTCATCTGCCTGGTGGTGCAACATGCAGTAAAAGTTTAGTGTCTTGTGAGTGTACCTATTGTATAATTAATGAATATCTACCATCATTCACTTGTGTGAACTAGTGTCAGAGCACCTGGGCTTCAGTGGAGGACCCATGTTAATGGTTCACCCTAGGAGGATAATCCATTCTGCCTGTTACTTGGCATGGGTGGCACCTTAGTCTCTCCTTTTCTCTGCTTGTGGCGCACAACAGTTAAGTCTCCTGAGAACTGATATGCTTTGGTCTAACTGAAGTGATTGAGCCCAATATAGGGATATCTGGGTGAAGCTTAATGGTCTGTGATATACAAGTCAGACTTGATGGTCTCTTCTGGCCTTAAACTCTAATTTTCAGTTCCAGCAGACACGGAGCTTTAATCAGACTTGCATACATAGATGTTCCTGCAGTACAATATTTTGCTGTCTGCCACCACAGATTAAATAGCTTGTAGATGTCCTTTTCCTTTGGTTTTGTACGATTTGAAAGTTGGTAACCCTAATGCAAACACCTTGCCCCATCCCTTGTCCGAGGCCCCGCCTCCTGTTCACTCCATTCTCCCTCCCTCCCTCTATCATTCGCTCACCCCCACCCTCACTCACTTTCACAGGGCTGGGGCAGGAGGTTGAGGTGTGGGAAGGGGTGAGGGCTCTGGCTGTGGGTGTGGACTCTGGTGTGGGGCCGGGGATGAGGGGTTTGGGGTGCAGGAGGGGGCTCCGGGTTGGGGCCAAGGGGTTCAGAGTGTGGGAAAGGGTTCAGGGTTTGGGTGCAGGGGAGTGGGGGGTTACAGGCATTGGCTGGTGGGGTGGGGTGCGGCCGGGGACGAGGGGTTTTGGGTGCAGGAGGGGTCTCAGGGCTGGGGGAGAGGGTTGGGGAGGGGCGGGAAGGTTGTGGGCTCTGGGAGGGAGTTAGGATGCAGGAGGGAGTTCCAACCTGGGGCAGGTGGTTGGAGTGCAGGAGGGGGTTCAGGCTGCGGCTCTGTCTATCCATCGCTTACCTCAAGCTGCTCCCAGAAGCGGACGGCATGTCCAGCTCCTAGGCAGAGGGTCCAGGGACCTCTGCACTCTGCCCACACCCTTAGTGCTGCCCTCACAGTTTCATTGACCACGGTTCCCAGCCAATGGGAGCTGCAGAGTCGGCGCTCAGGGCGGGGGCCACCTAGGAGGCGGACATGACGGCCGCATTGGGATCCGCACAGAGCTTGGGCAGGCAGAGAGCGTGCCTTTACCCCCACCCCCACCTCCCGTACCATCAACTGGACTTTTAGCGGCCTGGTCAGCGAACCTTGGCGGTGTTGACCAGAGCCACCACGATCCCTTTCAACTGGGAGTTCTGGTCGAAAACTGGACACCTGGCAACCCTAATTTGTATCATCTCCACAGCTCTCTTTGATTTAATTGTGGGTTGTGGGAACTGATGCATTTACAGGTAAGACTTGCGTGCTCGTGGAGAACCCACTTGGAGGCTGATCATCTCCTCATGCATTGTGCTAGAAGCCAAAAGTTTTTACCTCTTCCCTGAGCATGTAGGATTTATCCATTGGAACCATTTTGTGTTGGTGATTCCAGCTGACCTCGAGGAGAAATGTTCTTCATTTTTTTTAAAGTACTTTTTACATGCCCAGGGCCATATCAAGATCTCGCATGTAAAGTGGGTATCTCTACCTAGAGTCTGCTGTATAAACAGCAAAGTCATAAAATCCCAGTCTCATACTTTCCCTGACTCCAATACAGTGGTTTGAGTTTATCTAAGACATTGATTAGATTGATATACATGAGACTGCTCATGTCAGTGTCCATACACAAAGTTGCAGCAATTTAACTAAATCAGTATCAAATCACATCTTCTGTTAAACTGCATGGAGACCAGGCTTTGAAGTTATAGAGAGCACTGAACCGATCTCAAGCGATAACATTCTGACCTAAATTTCCTTTGCAGTCTCAGTTTAAGACCGGAAATGAAGAATATTCTGTTTAAACTTTTGTGTAGAAGTACTGTTAAACTGCTGCAGTGATTTACATGTACAGCTGGCAAAGCGATTTTGATCCTTTTGCATGAAAAGCTCTATATAAATGTTAGGTATTCTGGTTGCCTAGGAGTTTGATTTGGGGACTGAAATATTCTGTTTTTCTTCCCATCAATTGCTATCCAACTCATGTTTCACTTTAATTTTTCCTTCCATAAAAACTGGCAGTCTAAAGATCTGAAATCCAGTTTAGCTCTCTCTTCACCCCAATAAAAAAAAATCCTAACTTTTCATAAATAAGCAGGTTAAATGTGCATTGGAAAACTATTATGGAATTTGCCCTCCTGGATTCAAACTGATTTCAACTTCTTAGTTATTATATCTGATATGAATTTCTGAAAACTTGAATTAAACTTTCCAAGGAGATCAGCTTTAAATATTGGCTCTCTAGATGTTAAACTCTCTCTAGTCAATTCTGTGGTACTGACTAATTTACCGTCCCTTTCAGGCACAGCAGGGTCTAAGGGTCAAAGTTATTAGAATATCTATCCTTTTCAAAAAGTCTCCTTTAATCAATAATAAAAGGGATACGTCTATGGGGTCTTTCAGACATGGTACCCAAAACATTTCTCAAATATTTTAAGCTTATTAGAACTGTGTAGTATTACTTTTCACCATAGAAATGTCTGTTTTTCACTAGTAGTAAGATGATGATAATAGTAATTTAACAATGCATACTAGTACCCATTTGAAACCTTCAAAGGGAAGTTACCAGAATTGGAATTTGGCAAAGACCTCAAATACCTAAAATTGTAATGGGTTTCTTTAAGGCCTCATTTTCAAAACAGCAGAAGTGCAGGGCTATGGACAGCTCTACATCTGATTTGAGCATAAAATTACCCCAATTGTGCATGGAAATTATATATGGCTGGTTAAGTGGGGATGTTAATGGATAGAGAAGGGAAGCCAGAATCAAGGGAGAACACTCCAGGAAGTGTATCTGTCGGAACAAACAGAGGAGGTGACCGAGAAAAGGAAGAATCCAAAGGAAAGAAGGTGCGGAAGACAAATTGGGAGGTGTCTTACAGAAAAACCTGAGAGATCAGAGGGTATATAATCTCCAATCATGATAAATGTTGGTAGATTGATAATAGGCTCCCTTTCTTGAAGATAAATAGGGGTAGCCATATCTTGTTGGGAGAAAGAGTGGCTGTATTGTGAGAATCATGTGGCCTGGCTGGGGTGGTGATACAGGTTTAGATAAGCATCCTGAAGTTTCGATGGTTAATCTCAACATATCCAAAACTCCAGAGATTCTGGGTTCTCCAATAACTAGTTTTATATGCCACCTTGTGAGTGGTATCTAGTGTACTTTCATATGTATTTTTAAGTA